GCAACTCTGGGACAGATTACTCTAGTGGTGGAGCCCTGCTTTCCTGCTCTTACAGACAGACCCTGGTGTTTAGAGGAGTCTAGTCAAAGAGCTTATGCAACTTACAGATTTGTGATTTGGGCTCTCTAAAGTATATCAGAAAGGGAGATGGGTGGAGAAGATGATTGGTGGAGGCAAGCTTAGAAATAAAAAAACCTGACTTTTTTATCTCAAAGAAAATGGGAAGTGGAAGTGCATTTTCAGTGCATTGGAGAAATCCGAACAAGGATGAATGCATGGGCAGAGATTTCAGGCTAATCATCATGCAAGTTTTGAAGATGGCTGCATGTTACTGTCTTCAGAGTGAGACACCACCCATGGTCATCTGGATCAGAGTTGTGTAGAGTTTCATATACTGGATCAGATGATTGGTCTGTCAGATATCCTGTCCTGCTTTCAGCAGTGACCATTGTCTAGCTGACCAAGGAAGAAGTTCCCAGCCTCTGTAGTAAAATGCTGGTGAGGTTGGGTGCTGCTGTACATTTTCCTTTCTGGGCCACAGCACAGATACTGCACTAGTTACTCGTGTCTTACTGCAGAATGTGAGCTGTATTTATGCATTACCATCTGTAACTTTGGCTATCCTTGGCAATCCCTGTTGTGATACTTGTCTTTCCGTGAAGTTGTGATATACTTAAAGTAAATTCATGTGTTCTGGTGTAGGTGTAGTGGCTGAATTTGGTGTTGTCCAGTTATTAGTAGCTAAAGTCTGTTAAGAAATACTTGTTACTGAGAATACCTCCAATGTAATATATTTATTCAAAAAACTTGCTTACAGAATATAGTACTTCTGTACTGAATCTAACAGGAAGACAGCTGTGGAGATCCTTGATGTGGACATCCTGCTGGTGTCCTTGCAATGCTTATCATCCTGCCATTTGCAGACCTTTTGTTGGTTCCTTTTATTTTTCTTCTAAGAAGGCACAAACCCCCAGTTTTATCTGTTGAAGACTTGAGCAGGCAAGGAGAGCTTGTCTCTACCATGAAGGGAGTCTGAACACCCCTGGTTTTGGCCGCTCTGTGGCAACTGAAGGTGGAGAAGAAATTAGGTTTTTCCAACCTTTGTCTCTTACAGCTGGTTCAAACAGCCAGCTGGAAATTGAACAGAGTAGAATTGGCTGTAGATTGATGGAGATCATAACCCAACTGTGTCAGTCACAACTGCGACTGACCTTTCTTAGCAAGGAAACCAAGTAACAAGAGTTGTAGAACGAAAGTCAGGCAGGTGGGTGGACTTTGTTCAGGACTGGCTATGAGTGCAGTCTCAGGGGAGGTAACTGCAGAAATGGACTTTCAATGAGTAGTTAGTGGTGATGACATGGAACAAAGCAGGTTCTTCTGCAACTACACAGGACTTCTAGAAACCCTAAGGAGAAAAATACCTGTACTAAGCAGTCACTGTTGTTACAAGGGTTAGGCTTGAATACGGAGACATGTTAGAGGATATAGAAGCAGGGGACTAAAAGCAAAAACTCCTCCATGTCCCTTTGCACTCTGCAATTTTAAGAAATTATGGCCAGAAAAGAGAGGTTCTCTCAAAGTGTCCTGTCATCCAGTACAGAGTTTGGATGTTTGCAGCTGGGTATGGACTGGCTAACGTAGAGTTAAATCTGCCTGGAGTTTTGATTGGGAAAAAATGTGGAAATAGGGAAGAATTAATTGTGTCTTGCTTGGAGAAAATAACATGACTTGTGATAAAATACAGGATAGGTTAAATATAGGGAATCCTGTGGACACTGAGACTTGGGTACACAATAAAACTCAAGGGTCAGATGCTGACCCATTCTTCCTTGAATTTTATCAAACTGCTCAGTGAGCAGCAGCATTAATGAAATGTGGATTCCTGTGGCTTTGTGCCTGCAGTTAGATTCATTGATCTCTAACAAGTGGTAAACAGGGATTCAAAATTTTCCCTCAGCTGGAACAGGGCACACACATATATATTGGTAGTGCTGTGTTTGCAGTTGGACTCAATCATCTTGAAGGTCTTTTCCGACCTAAATGATTCTATAATTCATATTTGCATGCTGATCATGGATCATACTTAGGAGACAAGGGTAAAAAAGAAGCCAATTAAGTAAAGGAAAATTCAAGGGGGGAAAAGGAAAACACATTCTAATATCTGGTCAAGATTCTAGGGTATATACGATATATCTGATCTAACTTTACAAATACTAGTACTACCAAGATACTTCTAATGTTTCTTTTTTTTCCCACAAATTTTGTGGGATTTAAAAAAAGAACCCCAACAATTTATCAATAGTTTGTCTTTGTTTTGTTGCCTCCCGAGTTTTTTTGTGTATTTCATCAGTTTGGTGAATGCCTTATCAAGTATTTTGAGACCCTTGGGTGCAAAGAAGTATAAAATCCATAGAAGACAACCATTAAATGCTGTATATCAGCTGCTGACTGCAACACGTATCTTCTGCTGCGTACTCTGTGTCCTGAAACAGTTACGTGGTGGGAATACACAATCAAGTTTCCATCTGTGGATGAGGAGGCTTTGGAGCAGGGTTATCTGCCTTTGGATTGTGGTCCTCTGGGGAGCTCACAGATGTGCAGAGCATCTGTGAGAGCATTTGGTATTGCAGCCTCTCATTGCCAGGTTGTGCCCTTTGTGTCGAGATATGTGAGCAGAATT